AAATTTCTTGAACACTATAAAGCTGCGGGGGTTGCGACCAGGACAAATGGTGGTTTCTGAGCCTGGCCGCAAACTTGGCTATCTCAACTCAAAACTAATGTTAAGGTGGGAGGGTCCCTTTAATAAGCGCCATAGAAACCTGCTGATCCCACCGAACATTCGCCTTGCGTAATCCTCAGACCAAATATCTACATTGAGATGGCCAGGTCAATTTTGCGACCTCTCTATTATCTATTAGTTAACCCGCGCCGTGCTGGTGGCCTGTGCTTTCCGTGTCGTGCTGGGGGGGGGGGGGCGTTTTCAAGTCCCCCCTCTAACCCGGCTCCTGGGCCACGTAGCGACACGCAGTAAGGGGAAATCGAAAGAGCGTCAAAAATAATGACGGAAAGACTTCGTTTCAATTTTTAGGTCAGGTCAAAGGTCAGGTCACCAGAGGTCATCAAAGGTAAAATTTAGTCCATTTCAACAATTTTGGAAACTGCCAACGGCTAACTCGGGAACCAATAGAGCTACAGCGCCGCGGAACGTGTTCCTCTCGTCGAGACGCGTCGAATGAACTATACGTTGACCTTGAAAGGTCATTTTGAAAATTTGACCGCACGTCAAGGTCATGACCTGACCGGAATGGGCCATGCTGCATATCAGTCGATCCGTTTCGTCGAGCTGACCACATCTGACGTGTTTTCACCGCTCTAGCACGTCTCTATCAAAAGTTATAGCCAAAAAACTGCTGGTGACCGTTTATGACCTGAGATGACCTCAAGGGCACACAAAAGGTTAACAGGTGCATTTTTACGATTCAGTGTGTTATGTTTACCTATGAACCGATGTTTGGAGGGTTTTAAACGACATTCGTCCAAAAGAGGCGCATTTCACTTTTCTCCCACTGACTTGAGGTCCCAAAATTAACCTGACCTTAGGTCACAGAAATAAAAAGTCCGAGATGAGCATTTTATACATATTGTTAGTCTTATCAATCTCTGAAAGTTTCAAAAGTGATCGTTCAGTCGTTGTAGCTATAGCGGTCCTTTAAACTTTTTTTGAGGTAAGGCTACTTGACGTGCCCTGGTGACCTGACCTTGAACGACCCTGATCTGAAACTTTCACAAGCTGTGTAGAAAAGATGTATGAACAGGTGTACCAAAAACAGCGGCGCTGCGCGACGCCGTTTTTGAGATATTCGCGAAAAAAAACCTAAGGGGGCGGAACCCCCCCCCCCCCCCCTTCCAGCACGGCGCAGATTAATGGGAGACAATTGAAATGCTCTTCTTCTGAACGAAAACAACCTCAAACATCGGGATTCAGGTAAATATGACACAAGTTTAATCGGTAAATGTCACTCGTGATGTGACCACTTTTATGTTACTGAGGTCATCTCAGGTCATGAAAGGTCTCCAGTAGATTTTGGACAATAACTTTTGATAGAGATATGATAGACCAATGAAACACCCTATATAATTATTTTCCTTTTCGAAAATATGGATCGACTAATATGCAGTATGACCTTTCCCGGTTAGGTGATGACCTTTACCTTAGGTCAAATTCTCAAATGCCCTTTTAATGTCAAATTCTAGTTCATTTGACTCGTCTGTCTCGAAAAACGGAACACGATGCTGGATAAACTAATCTCGTGCAGGTCTGAGACAAGAGGTATTGCAGATAAACGTCCTCCGCGAAAAGTATATTTTGAGGCTAAAACGTTTACCTTAGGTCAAATCTTAGATAATCAATAAGAGAGAGCATAAAAAGAGCTATCGAATATGCGCTTTGCTGCGGCGCTGTAGCTCAATCTCTTTCTGAATCCTGACATGCGCCGCTTTGTCGAAAAATGTCAACATCGGCGAAATTTGATTTTCGGTTGTCACTGGTGACCTGACCTTCGACCAGTTCGACCTAACCTTAAAAATGATCGAAGTAACCTTAAAAATGATCTAAGCCTGGCTGCTGCATCTTGAAAAGGGCCCTTGGTGTCGATGAGAAAGCCCCATTGTCCAATAATTGCCTAGCGTCAGTGGTTTCGGGGGGGGGGGGGCCTATCAATCTTGAATGGGGCGGGGCGACCGAAGTCTCCATTCAGTTTCGCGTCAGTGACTACTGCAAGGGCGTCAACGACCTCGGATAGGGCGAATGTGATCTTCAGAAGGGCACCGGGTGCTCTAGAGGGGTGCAATGCTTGGATGGGGTCACTGCTGCCTTCAGTAGGGCGTCGGATGCTCTGGAGGGGCGCCATTGATCTCGGATGGTCCGACTGGGATTTTCAGAGGAGCATCAGTGGTTTCAGAGGGGCGCCATTGATCAAGGATGGGCCGACTGAAGTCCCGGTTCAGGTAGGCGCCAGTGGCTCTTGAGGGGCGCCAGCGACCTCGGATTGATGGGGCGACTGTGATCTTTAGAACGGCGCTGAGGAGCGCCATTGGGCATGGATGGGGCCACTGTTGCCTTCAGCAGGGCGCTGGAGAGAGGCCCTGGAGGGGCTTGAGCTTGGGTGGGCCGACTGTAGTCTCCAGGGGCGTTGTCTCGGATGGGGCGAATGTGATTTTCAGAGGGGTGCCGGGTAGTCTAGAAGGGCGCCATTGGTTTCAGAGGGTTGCCATCGATCTTAAGATGGGGCAGCTGTAACCTTCGTTTAGATGGGCGCGATCTTCAGAAGCGCGCCGGACGCTCTGGAGAGGCGTCATTGGGCTTGAATGGGGCGACTTAAGTCTCAAGCGGGACGACTTCAGTCTCAAGAGGGGTGGGGCGCTAGGGGCTCTTGAGGGCGCTATTGATCTCGGATAGGGCGACTGTGATCTTGAGAAGAATGCGGGTGCTTTAGAGGGGCGCCAGTAGTTTCAGGGCGCGCCATCGATCTTGGATGGGTCGATTGGGGCAGCTGTGAACTTCAGAGGGGCGCCGGGTACTCTAGAGGGGCGCCATCAAGCTTTAATGGGGCGACTGTTCCGTTCAGGTGGATGCCAGCGACTCTTCAGGGACGCCATCGACCCCAGGGGTTCGGAATATTCTGGTATCCGGAGGGGCGCCCTTCAACATTTGGGGGCTCAGGTCGTATTTGGGGGTGCCCTGGAGAACATTTAGGTGTCCAGGCACCCCCAAAGAGATATTGAGTTCGATCCCTGCCTGCACATCACTTTTTGATTCATGTTCTCTCTGTAAAACGGCATCAGCCTAGTCGGCGCTAATTGGGGCGCCATTTGGGCGGCTGGGCGGAAAGGGGGGACCATGGCCCCCATGGCCCCCCCCCCCTGTATACGCCACTGGTGGTGAGCCTCAGCAGTGCCAGTTGGCTACAATTACGAGCCATTTCAGACGGAAGATCTCGCCGCGCGTGCGGCCAGTCCAGGCACCGATAAGGACTGATGCAGGTGGACCACGGTGACCATATTTGGTGAAAATGTGTAAAATTGGTGTGACAATATGTGCTCCAAATTTGAAATGCCTATGTTTACAAATTTCTAAGCTACGGCGTTCTAAATGCAAATATGTATTTTGTCCCAATTTATCTGCCCAGCCCTGTAGCTTACGAAAAACCGAACAAATGAATCGTGGTGAAACACATTTCAAGGCACACTGTAACAGGCAAACGCACACATGTTCCTATCTCAACGCAATGTCCCAAATAGGGCTGATGGTGACCTTTCCGACCCCCCTGTTCATTGACGAATTGTGCACCTTAATCCCAGTGCCTCACGGATTGTCCTACGCTTCCAGTTTCTTTCAACTGCCAATGTTTTCGCGTCTCTTGGATTTAATGATTTGTTGCATGAGTAGGCATGCTGAGCTGTTGCTGACGTGTCTGTGCGACCATGTTTTAAATCAGCCATGTGCTCCTTCATTCTGGTTGATTTTGGACGTCCTCGTCCACTATGTATGTAGGACACTATGTAGGACTCACCGCACTCACATCTGATCTGATAGACGGTGCCTTTTCTCATCTCAGGTGGCACTTTGTCCTTCACCTGCATTAAATGGTCTCGAAGTGTTCTTGACTTGTGTCCCGTTTTGATGTGGTGCTGCTTCAAAAGTCTTGCTATGGGCTCACTTAACCCCTTTACGTATGGAAGCGAAATGTATGTTGTGCGGGTGACCTCATTTTGATTGACTGTATCCTGGCCTGTTACAGTGTGCCTTGAAATGTGTTTCGCCACGATTCATTTGTTCGGTTTTTCGTAAGCTAGAAGATCGTCATCACTGACGGCACGATATGAATATTTGAATTTTTTGGTCATGTTTTTGAGAAAAATGTATTTTAAACCAGTGAACAAGGCTGATCAATAAAGCCGAAATATTTGGTTATAACATTTAGTTTTCCTCAGCGAAGCCCGTTTTGAAAACAATTAACTTTTTAGAGATCATTCCACATGTTTGAACGTTTAAAACCACAAAAGGATTACAAACGCGCGAATGTGAGCCGACATACGCCGAATCGCGATTCTGGCCAAGTATGGTCTCGACTCGAGAGATAGGTCACAGGTCAAAGTTCATCTAGGTCAGGGTCATGGAATTTTTAGGGTCTATGTAAAATTGATTAACTCGAGGGTAATGAAAGTTGGGTCGTGATCGGCTGCTTTTTGCGCGGGCTCGCAGAGACCACGGTTACGCGATACTGATTACAAGCACTTGGTGCAGAACTTTGCGAAAATTTTTAAAAGATGCAATATTAATTCAAATAAAAAGGAGGCGAACAAGCGACTTAAAAGTGTGGGGCTGTAGTGTGATGACTGTTTGTTTGATGTAATATTTTTTATTTATTTTTTTGTTGACGCACTTCCATCTCTTTCCATCTTTCCACGCTAAGTCATTTGACCCTGACAATGTCATGGTCAAATGACCTATCCATGTTATGGCATGACTGAGATAAAACTATCTACCTCACCACTTCTGCTATCTCATATCTATCTCTCCTATATCATCCATGACCATGACGCATTGTGCGCATTGTGACGCACCTTCCTAATTGTGTGATTCTGCAGACTAGGCTAATGAAGCAATGCCATACTCACTCGGCAAAGTCAATGTAATAGACATGCCGATCAAATATCAGAGGTTTCTTCTTGGACTGCTTGATGAGTTTCTTGATGACCGCTAGTTGATCGGTATCATTTAGATATCGTCGAAAATATACCTCTGAACTTGACGTAGTGAACTTCCGGTTCCTCATAACAAGTCTGAAAAAATGCAAATCTTAATCAATGGGGTGACGTATAAGAGCACGTTTTAAGTCGAATATGGAACAAATGCCGGAGGACATTTAGCACCAGAACCATTATCCTCCATCAGTGACAATTAACACGCGCTTACACACCTCCCTCAGTCATATCCGAAGCTGCAGACCGTATATACCTAGCTAGACGCGTAAGGCTGCGCTGGAACTTGGAAAGGTCTCGACGAGACGCATCTGAAATTTTTTAATTGAGATATTCAGATCACTTAAGAGGCTAAGGTCACGTGAATGAATATATGCCTATAGTCCAATTTTGGACGAGTACTGGAAAGAGCTGCTGTTCCTCAAATGTAGAACTCATGTTGTTCGCACAAGTCAAATTTCGCTAAAATGGGCGTATGAGCTACCTTCCATCTTTCAGTGCAGGCAGAGCAGTGTTGCATACCTACCTTTTGATAAGCGTTGTGAGCGAGGAACTGCCACATTTATCTACTCGGTTGTAGAAGACAATACGAGAATTCACTGTGCGATTTTTTCCTCTTGTTTGAATAAACCGTTTCCATGATTCATCTGAAACAAAGTAAAAACAGGAACTAAGTAACATTCCAAGCACATAAAATGAATACATCAGTTCCTCGAATAGACATTCATTCAGAGCTGGCTGGTAAAAAGTACCGACTCGCTGGTAATACCAGAGCCGGGCTAAAGGCTGCCAAGTGCCGAAAATCAAGCGCCATGTGGTCTTTACTGGTATAAATGTAAGAAAGCTTGGATGTGCAATACTTTCATATCCTTTTCTAACTTCTTCTGTATGCTAGGAAACACCGTGCACTTAGGTTTCTGGATAGTAGATAACAGATGGGAATGAGCGTTACTATGTAGAAAGAATTGAAGATCGTCGAACGCGCCACCTTGCGCGCATGGACTGCTAAGCTGGTCTTGCGAGCAGTCAGTCACCAGCCACCGCCTCTACATAGTGTCAGGAGCCGAAACTACTATGAGTCACTGATAGGCATCAGCCATATGGGTGGACCTTGCGCCGGGCGGGGGCACAGTGGGGGATATCTCCGATCTAGCACGTCTTTATTCGTATAGAGCGCAAACCATTGGTAGTAGTGCAGCCAAATTTTGTACATATTTGGTCTGGTGTGTTCTGGCGACGATGCCAACCCTAAAGGCCGCCCCACACTGGACCTCGCATGCGGGTTGCGAGTTTGCGGGTTTTGAGTTTATGGGCATAATTCATAGTGATTAGACCGTTCCCTCATGGTAACTTCATGATTGCAGTGAAGCCGGGACACCTTCAGAAAATTACATATAGTCCCAATACCAGCGTAGCGAACCAAAATTCGACTCCAGCGAAAAACCCGGAAATCTCGCAGAACTCGCAGACCTCGCTGCGAGGAACATCGAAAGTTGACTCAAAATCAACTTTTGGAATGCGATGCAAAGTGGCACGCAAGCTAAGAACATGCAGACTCGCTTGTTAGATGGTTGTGTGGGTCACTCAGCATAGATTGTATTTATTAAATTCTGAAGAAACCCGGAAACCCAAAACCCGCAACCCGCATGCGAGGTTCAGTGTGGAGCGGCCTTTAACCCGCGCATGACTGGGGGGGGGGGGCTCTGCAGAGCCCCCTCCCGTTTTTCGGCAATATCTTCTAAACCATTTCACGGATGAACACGAAAATTGCAGTACCCTCAGCGGCATCCATTTGACACCTTGTGTTAGGGTTTCAACTTTCTAGCTACCATAGTGTGGCCGGAAATGACGTCAGAGTGACGCCATATAGGCCGATTTTGATGCAAAATATTGAATCGCTGCAAACGCTCTCAAGAGCTTAGTTTTAAAGCTAGAGCCGATTTCTTTGCATCAGTGCATTACCAATACATGTAGCTATCAAACTGCTATTTCGAATTTTCGACATTTTGAAAATTTCGAACAATATGTTTTTACAATTACAAAAAGAAAATATTTTTTGATTTTTTTTCAAAAACTTTTAGATGTTTCGCAAAAACCGGAATATATGTGATAGTACACACACTGATAAAATACTCTAGCAAGTGTTAGCCCAATATCCTCAAAAATAGCCAAGTTATTTGCATTATTGTCAAAATTTTACAATTTTATATTTTCCCAAACTATTTTTCAGTACGTTTTTGACATCGTACAGCAATATAAATGGCATCATCGTGTTCCTGAGCTCAAACTGCATCTGATAAATACCTTTTTCGTTGAAAAATTTCATGTTCAAAATTTGACCTTTTCTGACCTGACATTGACCTGACCTCCGGTAAATTCAGCTGAAAATGACCTCAAATGACACAGTTGACATTGTTTTCGAAATATACGTATAAAAAGGACCATAAAACATGCGTGACGTAACCGATACATGATATACAATTTTCGTGACCTAGGATGACCTGGCCTTGACCTGAAAAAAATCGAAGTAAAAGTTCGGTACCCTCAGGGTATCTAAGGCATATATCAAGCAGTGCGTAAACTACAAATGAGCCTGATCGGACTTGTCAGTCGGTGGCCAGAGCCTAAATTGTAAACAAGCAAAAGTGACGATAATTATTGCTTTGACCTGACCTGTGACGTCATCGGTGACCTCGAGGTCAATGAAAATAGATTTCGCTCGACAATTTTTCCAGGGCTATCAGACGCCGTTTGAATTTTGACGATCAGCCGAGTAGTTTTGGAGATAGGTGCGTTATGGAAAATACCCCAGTCATGCGCGGGTTAACCCTCGCCCGCACATGCCATTTTCCCATCCTAGAACGCACATGGGGGGGGGGGGGGGTGGTTGCCACCCCCCGCGCCATTTCGTTCCTGTTTGAGATAGAGCTTAGCGGTAAAGACCAAAAAGATTCTTTGGGAAGAGACGAATCCAATGATTTCCAGTTTTACCTTCTCAGGTCAGTCATTGACCTTCCAGGTCAGGTCAAACTAAAAAATGTTGCTGTTTTGGGTCACCGTTGGATATCAAGTGCGCTGCTTATCATATACCGATGACGATGCTGTTTTCTGGTGCCAAGCCAGCTAGAACCTCTTTGTCACACTACCCGACCAGATTTTTGCTGCTGAGGTCATTTCAGGTCAAGTTAGGTCAAGGTCAATTATATGTGTTTGTATGTCTGTGTGTGTCTGTGTGTATACTGATGTGTGCACCGATTGTTTTTGTGTCCATATTACATGAAATCATGATCTGAGAAGCTTTTACCAAAAATGCAGTCAAAAAACTCCACAAAAAGTAAATTTCGCTTGCCGAGAACGCAATTATCTTAGATGACCTAGGTTGACCTTGACCTTGACCTTGACATCTGTACATCGTCGAACAACATGTTCCATGATAGGTTGGAGGTTAGACTGGCAAAAAAGGCCGAAATCAAGGTGTCAAAAGCTCACAAGGCCCATATGCCAACGCCAGATGTTGAGAATTGGCCATTTGGGTCATGACATGACCTGAAAAACAAGGTCATATCTCCAAAACCAAAAACCACAGAAACTTGAAGTTTTTAGTGGACATCGAGAAAGGATAGAGGAGCAGCTATACCAAAAATCAGCCTCCTAGCTTTAAAAATGTTGAGTGCAGAGCAGAAAGACTACCTGGGGGGTGGCAACCACCCCCCCCCCATGTGCGGGTGAGGGTTAACCCTATTAGTGGCAGGGGGGGTTGTTTTCATCCACCCCTCAGGTTTTTCGGGAATATCTCCGAAACCGCTAAAGCTACGATGCTGAAATTTTCTGAGTTTTCCTAAAACTAAATTGGGCATATTCCCTGAAAATTTCAAGTTCATAACTTTACCAGGGGCGGCTACAGAGCACTGGGAATTGGGGGGTCCTATTCGTGAAGCGAGTCATTTGGGCGAAGATCACGATGCTGATGTATTATAACTGTATGCACCAGTTTTACGAACAGTGAATGAATGGTTTCATGTGATAACATATACAAAGTTATTGTGCATCCTCTTTTGACACGTTTTTGCTATAATAGGCGGATCCAAGCGTCCAAAAAGGGGGGTTATGTTTTACCTCCCAACATAGGTGCCCTGACACCGCCTATACATGACCAATACAATTGTAGTCGTTCTCTCATAAGAAAATTGTAACATAACAAGACTATTACCACCCTTTTTAGAAACAGTACCAACAAAAACCTTATTTACAATACGTTTTGTGTACCCCCAATCTCAATGATCTGTATCCGCCTATGGTTTTTGAAAATGCATATTTTTAGGATCCATGTGAATTCCTGGCTCATTTTCTATCGATCGGCAAAAGTTGCGTTAAGATTGGTGCAGAAACCTGGCCGTGATAAACAGTCTAAAATATATCTGCAAGTTGCCCGTTTTTACCCCCCTCTACCCCCCTATTGACATTTTTCTAATTTTTATTTTTTTTTAGAAATGTAGATCACCTTGAGCGAAATCGAATTCCGTTTAAATTTTGAAAATCGGCCCGTTAGATCTCGAGATATCAGGGGGGTCGTAAACAACCCCCCCCCCCTGCCACTAATAGGGGTAGCCAGGAGCCTGCCACTAATAGGGTTAATGTACAGGGTGTCCAGAAAAAGCTACTACGGAAATTAAGTCGCATTCATTAACGCACGTGCCGATTTTTTTCCAACTTAATGTGCTTATAGTGCAAAATTTGGCAAAACTCATAGGCACTGTAATGCGTCGTTGGAAAGTTGTCTGCCTGCCCTACGAATTACGAGATGGTCAACATGACCCGATCAGTCACCTGCAGACTGTGCTACCCTAGCGAAAAAGTCCTATAGGACTGGTGAACTGTCCTATAGGACCAATAGGATTCCTATAGGATTTTGTCCTATAGGACACTCTTCTACAGGACTCCTATAGGATTATCTATAGGATATTGTCCTATAGGACAATTTCCTGTAGGACTTAATAGGAAACCTGTAGGACACTTTCCTATAGGACACTCCTATAAGAGTGCTATAGGAATCCTATATGGTAGTTTCCTATTGGAGACTCTCCTATAGGAGTGCTGTAGGACTCTTATATGACATTTACCTTTAGGATACTGCCCTATAGATAGGAGTGTTGTAAGACTCATATATGATATTTTCCTATAAACACCCATCTGACAATGTCCCAAAGGATTCTAAAGGTAATCCTATAGGATATGCCTATTGGACACTGTCCTATAGGAGTCCTACAGGACACTGACTATCATATATGATTCCTATAGGACTCCTTTCGCAAGCGTAACTTGTAGCATAGGGGTGGGTCTTCGCGCCAGATATACATGTGTGTGAAGCATGGGATGTTTTGGAAATAAAAACGACGGATGATCACTGAAATTTTTGTTTGTGTGCGTATGTTGTAGTTTGCATGTGCGTGCCCGCTATATACACTATTCTGTATTCTGTATTTGGTACAACCGTCAACAGAACATGACCAATTAATGACGCGGAGTCATATACGTAAATAGGTACCATCAGGTCAACTCATGCATACTTGCTAAATGTAGCTAAAGCAGCTTAAAAAATTAGGAGGGTACATAGGTACCCAGGACAAGGTTTGCGCCCACTCCACGA